CATTCAACATTCAAAATGCTAGTGGAAAAAGTAAGTCAACCCTTGGAATCAATAACTGGTTGACCCCCGCCTCCCCCCTTGGCAGCAATAACCTCAGCCAGGCGCTTCCTGTAGCTGTGGATCAGACCTGCACGTTGTTCAGGAGGGTTTTTAGCCCATTCTTCCAGGCAGAACTGCTTTAGTTCTGTCATATTCTTTGGACGTCTCATGTGTACGGCTCTCTTCAAGTCATTCCATAGCATCTCTATTGGGTTGAGGTCTGGGCTCTCACTTGGCCACTCCAAAAGGCGGATTTTGTTTTTCTGAAGCCATTCTGTTGTGGACTTGCTCTGGTGTTTTGGGTCATTGTCCTGTTGCATCACCCAACGTCTAGCAAGTTTCAGCTGATGTACAGACATTCTGAAGAATTTTTTGATACACTTGGGAATTCATCTTCCCCTCAATGACTGCAAGTTGGCCAGGCCCCGATGCAGCAAAGCAGGCCCAAATCACGATGCTTCCTCCACCATACTTTACAGTTGGGATGATGCTTTCATGATGATATGCAGTGCCCTTTTTACGCCAGATGTAGTACTGCGTGTTCTTTCCAAATAATCCAATCTTTGTTTCATCAGTCCACAAAACATTTTGCCAATACCACTGTGGAGTCTCAGTGTGCTCTTTCACAAACTTCAGGCATGCAGCAATGTTCTTTGTAGTAAGCAGCGGCTTCCTTCGTGGTGTCCTGCCATAGACACCCTGCTTGTTCAATGTTTTACGTACTGTAGACTCATGAACACAGATGTTAGCCAGTTCCAATGATCCCTTCAATTCTTTGGCTGTCTCTCGGGGTTGTTTCTTTACCTCATTGATGAGTCTTCGTTGTGCTCTTGGGGTCATTTTAACTGGGCGTCCACTTCTTGGTAGAGTAGCCACAGTCCCAAAGTGTCTCGATTTGTAGATCATTTGCCTAACTGTAGACTGGTGAATTTCTAAGGTCTTTGGTAACCCTTTCCAGCTTTATGTAAATCAACAATTCTTGATCGTAGATCCTCTGAAAGCTCTTTTTGCAAGGCATGACTCACATAAGCATATTCTTCTTATGCAAAGCAAACTCAAAAAGTTTGAGTGGTTTTTATCAGTCAACATAGCTCTAGTCCACACCTCCAAACTCATTTTCTTAACAAGACTCCAGGAATGCTAACACTCTTTTTGCAAGGCATGACTCACATAAGCATATTCTTCTTATGCAAAGCAAACTCAAAAAGTTTGAGTGGTTTTTATCAGTCAACATAGCTCTAGTCCACACCTCCAAACTCATTTTCTTAACAAGACTCCAGGAATGCTAACACCTGACTCCAATTAGCTTTTTTGCAAAATTAGCAGCTCAAGGGTTCAGATACTTTTTCACTAGCACTATGAGGTTTTTATGGTTGTTCTCAACAAAGACATGAAGGATCAGAATTGTTTTTGTGTTATTAATTTAGGCACATATTTGTCAATACTCTTGACTTAGATGATGGTCAGATCACATTTTATGACAAATTAATGC